GAGTAAGGGCATGCAACACCAACTGAAGGGACCACTGCAGAACTGGTGGACGAACTGGGGGTCTCAGATTAGTGAGTCCTTTGAGAAAGGCTTTAACTGTAGGATGGGAGAATAGGCGTGATGAATCCGAATCCTTAGGTTGGAAAGAAATAATTGCAGCTAGGTAAACTTTAATAGTGGAAAGGGACAACTTGAAATCAAACAGGTAACTTAGATATTGCAGTAACGTAGAAAGAGACACAGGGAATGGCACAAGACCCCTGGCGTCAGTGAACTTCAAAAAACTTCTCCACTTGAAACCGTAGAGAAGAGTGGTGGAGGGTTTCTTTGCCTGATCTAACACCTCCTTGATCTCGGGGAGATCCTCCACGCCGTTAGATGCAGAGTATCCACATCTGGATTGAACACCCTGCCACATCTTGAGTCAACAGATCGGGTAAAGCTGGTAGTTTCATGAAGTCGGAGGACATCATCTTCAATGTTGGAAATCATACTTGACAAGGCCAGTATGGTGCTATGAAGATTGCCTCCACAGGTGCATGACGAAGTTTCACCAATGATCTCTGAATCAGTGGAAGAGGTGGAAACATGTATAGGAGTCCCTGATTCCACTGCACCAGAAATGCATCCCCGATGGAGTCCTTGCCAAAGCCGGCTCTTGATGCATAAGCATCTTGAGGTCACACATAGCCATTGGCTCAAAGGGAGGATGAGTAAGGGCATGCAGCACCAACTGAAGGGACCACTGTGGAACCGTTGCACGAACTGGGGGTCTCAGATTAGTGAGTCCTTTAAGAAAAGCTTTAACTGTAGGATGGGAGAACAGGCGTGATGAATCCAAATCCTTAGGTTGAAAAGAAATGATTGCACTTTAATAGTGGAAAGGGACAACTTGAAATCAAACAGGTAATGTGGATATTGCAGTAACGTAGAAAGAGACACAGGGGATGGCACAAGACCCCTGGCGTCAGTAAACTTCAAAAAACCTCTCCACTTTTAACCGTAGAGAAGAATAGTGGAGGGTTTCTTTGCCCAATCTAACACCTCTTTGATCTCGGGGAGATCCTCCACGCCGTTAGATGCAGAGTATCCACATCTGGATTGAACACCCTGCCACATCTTGAGTCAACAGATCGGGTACCTGGACGGTGAGCTGCAGTGGTCGAAAGGGGCTGCCTATCCTCAGATGTGGAGGATAGTTCCACCATTGGAGTTGCTCTGCAAGCTCTGGAGTTACACAGAGGCGTTTCCTCTGAAGGGGCTGCCTATCCTCAGATGTGGAGGATAGTTCCACCATTGGAGTTGCTCTGCAAGCTCTGGAGTTACGCAGAGGCGTTCCCTCTGACTGTCTGTCATGGAATTGAAGAGTGCCAGGAACCAAGACTGCAGGGACCGCAGTTTGACACGTGCGTGTGCCAGAGCCGGAGTGGTAGAGGCCATGAGACCTAATGGATGTTGAACATGTTTTGCCCTCATACAGGCCCTTGGGCCAAACTTCCTGAGGGCCTTGTGTATCTTTTGAATGCAGTCCCTGGGCAGAAAAATTCGACCTCTGATGGCATCTAGACGTTCTCCGATATAATGCACTATCTTGGATGGTTCGAGATGTGACTTCTCCCTGTTGATGGTGAGGCCTAGCTTTGGCAGTACCCGTAGAATGAATTTTGTGTCTTTCAGGGCCTGGGCCCTGGATGGAGAGACTACCAACCAATCGTCTATGTAAGGGTAGACGTGGATGCCATTGAAGCGTAGGTAAGCTGCCACAGGTGCCATGACCTTTGTGAATGTCCTGGGAGCTGTTGACAGTCCGAAGGGCAAGGCTAGAAATTGATAGATGGTTCCTTGAAAGATGAATCGAAGGTATTTGCGATGATCTGGATGGATGG